CATGGTGTCAGATTCCTCGCATCACCTTTCAACATCTCGTGGAGTCAATGCCAAGAAGAATCGCCGCAGTATTGAAGGCAAAAGGTGGCTCAACGAAGTACTGATGGGGTGGTCATAATAATATGCCCACTTTCGTTCAAATGTATCCCAAGTTCAAAGGCTGTTAAATCGCGTTGTTTACCCATATCTTCAGGAAAAAATCACTTCTACTGTTGTGGTAAACAATCGCTTCCCTATTTATAATGGCCTGGTCATCTACCAACTTCAGTGCAAAATTATAGCCAATTTGCCTACAAATGTCAGGTGGTCATAATAATTTGGCCACTCAGTGTATATGAAAGGTAAAAATGTGTTCTGTGATCTACAGGAAAGATTTAGTGATATTCCATATCAAGAAATGATAGGCAAATTTTTAATCCTACATTCATGTTTTAAAATGCTTAGGTAATGGTGAAGTTCATATTAAGATTTAAATTTTGCCTGACCAGTTGGGCTCAGTGGTTGAGCGTTGGCCTATGAACCAGGAGGTCATGGTTCGATTCCCAGTCAGGGCATATGCCCAGGTTGCGGTTCAATCCCCAGTGTGGGGTGTGCAGGCAGCAGCCAAGCAATGATTCTCTTTCATTATTGATGTTTCTATCTTTCTCTCCTTCTCCCTTCCTCTCTGAAATCAATAAAAATATATGTTAAAATATAAATTTTAATAGACTTTAGAATTGATATAGTGAATAATATATTTAATTTCTAAAGTCTACCTAAAATTTGAAAAGATCATTTTCAAAGATCATTTTAAAGATCATTGTGCTCATTATTGGCCCATAGAGCACAGAAAAAAAGTTTGTATTACTAACTGATAAGTACAATTTCTATAGTAACTTTTTTTTTCATCTTGTGCACCACTTTTCCATTTTTTAAATTTTCTTCTTTTTATTAAAATATTAAAATTTTTTCATCATTTGGTTTCAGCAATGTAAAACATGAAGAATACAATTTTGTTAATTTGTCTTAAGATATTTGAGTAATTTAGAATTTATAAAATTGTGGAATTGTATTTATTATAAATCAGCTATGAACAGCTAAATGGCCACTATTTTTTCTTAAGTAGAGTCCTTGAAGTCCACAATAAAATAGAAAATATTTTATAGGTAAACCTTAAAAAATTTAATAGAAAAAAGATAATATTTTCCCATTTCAATAAGATAGTATGCAGGGATCTTAGAATATGTAGAGGCAGGCATCCCCGCCTCACCACATGCTCACGAAAATAGTAATGTTTTGCTCTATTCCAAAGAAGCAAAAGTTAATTTGACAACTGGCTTTGCCATATTCCTCATGCATATCAGATAGCTATTATACTCTAGACAGCATTCTGCAATATGTATATGAAGCTATCGTGCCACACATTGCAAAAATTAGTTTCACCTGATTATATTTTAAAAAATTAGCTCAAGTGCATAATTTTATAATGTCACAAGTCAAAATGATTTTCTATTAATATGTAGTAGTAATAAATTATTTATTTCAAAATTGTAGATTTTTCAGGATCATTTTAAAATGATTCCATTATCAATTAATTAAATCAGGACATTTTCAATAGGTTTCTGGTTGTAATAATATTAAGTCATTTGGATTAAACTTTTGATTGACTATTTCTAAAAAGGTAATATCCTTAAAGTACTGTCTTAACTTTATTGCAATTACATTTTCCTAAAAAAATTGTGTGAAATGCTTTTCTTGTCATAACTATAACATATATCTGATTTCTGAAAATGTCATAGATATATTTTAATTGTAAGAAAGAAAAAATTATCTTTTAAATGTCAAAAATTATTAATAGTCCATTTCAACAGCTAACTGGCAAATTATTACCTTCATAAATCAATATGAAATCTACAGAAAAAAACAATTTTCTTATGAATTTTTCTTACTCAGCTTTAGGTGCTATGTTTTGAAGTTGTGAAGTTTTAAAGAGATTTTCACTTTGAATAAATTATGGCATATTCTGTATGATTTTAGTTACTATTGGGACCAAATTTTTAACTTAAAAAAATTGGATTCTTCAAATAGGAACAATATTCCCAACAGAGTTAAGTGTTTATTGTAACATGGTACTGCAGCTCATCCAAACATCAGTTTCTCTTCCCCTTTCTGGCAGAGAAGAACTTAAATTGTCTATTCTATTTAAATTAGGCCACAGCTAAATGGCTTGTTTTTGACAATGAGGATGAGCAAAAGTAATAGCTCTGTCTTCTGGTTAGGAGCACTTAATTTTTCATTCTTGATTCTCTAGATCCAGCCCATGTAAGATGTGAGGAAATGTTTATAAGGAAGTGTCCCTGAGACCAAAGGAATATAAAATTAGAAGATAACCCTTGGAAGATCGAGAATGCTTGGGGCTGAGAAACATCCTTTATCCATTTATTGTGATTTGTTACCATAGTGTAGCCAGACTATCCTAACTGATACACATGACATCAGGATAATTTCTTGATTAATACAATGACCTCAGTTAGTACTATATTGCAATTATATCAAGAATCAAAGGCAAATTCCCCTTAATTCATCACAGAATTTGAAAATAGCCTTGTCTCCATTTTTTCTTGCATAAAATGTAGGATAAATTAGTATTTATTATTTATAATTATTATGTAGGAATTCAATAAGATTTTCTGTTTGGAGCTTTTTAGATTATATTAAATGTGATAAAAACCTAATAACTTTTACTTAGTGAAAATAAGTGAAACGACTCCATGGCAATGTCCTTCTCACCTTAGTTAAATGTAAAAGAACATTTAAAATGTAGGCAATATTAAGAATGTTGAAATAAGTTTAAAATAAAGAAAAAGATAAAGTAGAAGTGTAGTGGTTTCATTTGCTCAGAAGCATTGTTTAATTTCTGTTGCTGTGAAACAGACCACACTAAGACTCAGGGGCATACAACATTTCCTTGTGATTATCAATGTAGACTGGGTTCGGCTGAGCAGCTGTTGTCCCAGTCTTGCGATGCTCACTTGTGTGGCTGCATGCAGCTGGTGCGTGGGCTGTGCTCACCTGAGACTTTGGGATGGATAAGCTTTTCTCCTGCTCCATTAGTTTTCTCTACATTGTCTCTCCACATGCCCTCACCACAGGGTAGCCAGCATAATTGCTTTGTGGCTCAGTTTCTCGAAACTATTTTACTCATGCATTTCAAGTGCACAAAAGCAGAAGCTGCCATGGCTTCTTAAGGTTTGGGCCTG